TAAGAGCTATGCAACGTGTTGTTGATTTAAGGTGGGAAAAGGAAAAGGATTCTTGCGTTGATTTACAAGTTCTTGAACTTTTAGTAAATGCTGTTACGCAAGGTATTCAAGATGCTCGTCAAAATAGTGCCTCTCAATTGGCTCCAAGACTTGAAAAATTATTGACCGAAACTATTACTTCTCGAATTACCTCCAATCAACATATATGGCGTCTCTGTGCTAAATTTTGGTTTTGGAAGAAGGAATACGACGAAGCTCTCGAAGCGTATTTGAAAGCATATCGAAGCGTTTTACATGATCCAAATTTAGGGAATTCGTACGATGTATTTGAAAAAGTAGCAAATGCTGCATTAGAAGTTGTAGAAGCGTATCAAAATTTTGGTGAAAAGAAAGTTTTACGTAAAATAGACTCTAATGATGATGGTTTAGAAATCGAAAAAATCGTTTGTAAAGATTGGAAATATCAGGCAAAGAGTTTATTGAAGAGTTTGATAGGAAGGACAAAAACTTCTTTTGAGGGCACACCAATGCATGATAAGCTAAAAGAAGTGGCAAATGAATTAAGTGAATAATATTTATTAGAAATTTTTTTTAATTAAATATAATTAACAAATAAATGAGATATAATTGATGATAATGATTTTCTGAATGGGTAGAGATCGTATCATCATCATACTTTGATGATTAAATTGTATTAATTGGTATGAATATTACATCATCCGAATCACGTCCTCCTATAGCTATTGAGTTATATTTTTAGTACGCTTCAGGAATCCTTGAATCATGCAGTTTGACCAATTCATTTTTTTTGTGGGAATTTTTTTTGCCAAGAAAAGGAAAGTCGGAAAAAAATAATCGAAATATTTATGTAATTCCGTTACTGTGTCACATTGTGAGTGAATAACGATCCTACTTTCCGAAGTTCTGCTCATGTAAAAGTTGCAATAAGAAAAACCTGGGGACAATAATTAGTATTACTTCAGTCGCGTAAGCATGCAAATTACAATTTAACTTTTAAAAAAACTAGCTAATGATATTTGTGAATTTTGCATGGTAAATATTAATTAGCATTCTTATAAACGGGATAATTCAGATTTTTCTTGAAGAAATAGCTTCTTTTTATCAATTACAATTGACTTCCCAAAATCAATAAAATATATATCGCCTTTTTCATTAACTAAGATATTTCTTTTCGAATATCATTGTGAAGAATGTTATGACTATGAATGCATTGAGAGCCTTATTATTTTGCCATTTCTCTATCTTACGGAAACTCAAAATAGTACCATCAATTTTCATACCCATAACATAGCACATTCCACCCCCATAATAACCATAACATACCAATTTTGGGATATATTCCTTAAACTTTAGAAAGACGTTTGTATATTTCGATTTCATTTTGCATATTATAAAAAAATTTTCTATTCTTATATAGATCTAAAGCCTTCAGAGCTATTGTTTGCCCATGGAATTCATATCGGTAAGTCTCTCCGGTTTGCCCATAGCCTAATGAACTTAAATTCAGAACAATCAATAACCTGTTCCATTGGATCCTGTGATCCTGTTTACCAGACGTTCTCTCAAGTTATAACGAAAATTACTCAAACTTCTGGAAATCTGACCACCTCCAGAATTTTGTTGACTTTACATTAAAGCTAAAGTTTATCTCATACTACTATGTTATGATGGGGAGATGTAGACGACAAGTGTAATCTGGTACGAAAGGGCCAATAGGGTCATTTGTAGAGAGGTCAGAATCCTTCTGCCTCGCAAACGTGTATTTTTTCATCAATACACCAAATATATTGACTTCCATAGCAGTGTAGACATAGGTTTCAACAACGATTATTATATTTTTAAAAAATTATGGTTTCTTGAATCTCTCCTGTTCAATAAAGTTGTACTGATTTACTTCTGTTAAAAATTCTTTCCTAACGTGTTATTTTTGTAGGCCAAGCGCTACCCTCTCTTAATTGGCAGGTGACGGAATACACGATAAAACTTCATTAAGAGCAAGGTGCCCTATATAAATGATAAATTCGTGAGGTTAGCAATGAGATAAAAATCTAAAACAATGGAATGCTTCCGAGTCACTCTTACTATTATATTCCATACCACTCCACCTTTGTATTGAGAACCAATAGGTAAGAAGTATGCTTTTTGTTTTGATTTTTGTATCGCAATGCCGAGAATCCGAAATTTATTGGACAAATATTCGTTTAGGCATGTTTTAAAGTTCAGGTGAGCTGCGCCTATTATACTCGCTTTGCACAAAGATTTTCTTGCAAAGGTCAAAATGCCGATATATAACAAGAACAGCAATATGTCCAAAATATTCATGGAAATATATGATTTTGTAAGCATATGTGAAAGAATTCGAAATGACAGTGTGTATTAATCATCATATCTCAATTTGTTTAGCAGTTTGGATCCATGATGCAAAGGTAAGTTAGATTGGTTTGAATGTTATATTTCGTTTGATTTTTTGTTTTACTTACACGGGATAAATGAGTTCAATAAGCAGTGTCTCACCTTTTTATATGTTGAAGCGTCTGATTTTCACGGGATCGGTAAGTATGATCGCATCGAGAATGAAACATTTATGCTATGGCCGTGATGCGGTTTTTATTTGTATCTTTAGCATTTTGCCACTTCTTTACCATTTTTGAAATTAGTAAAGTTTGCTCATATTGT